TTTAACAAATACTGTACTTTAAGATGCTAATGTGAAAAATTAAATAAGCACTGAATATGATTAATAATATTAAAAGCTGGTGTATCTAGTATATATTATAATGGGATCCATTTATTTAGCTGTTTCACTGAATCAGAAATCAGCCGTTAATTGTGTTTGTGGCTGATTTGTTTCCTGTCTGAGGCAATGAAGAGAAGACATCAACGTAATAGAAATACTTTTTAATTTTAACACAGGCATAATCGTAAACAAGATATTTAAAAATGCAGATTTCATCTTTTGTCATTCAGGCCGATTCTCACACATCTGGAGACTAAACGAAGAGAAAGAAAAGTGACGTTTTGTCGCATTAAAATGGCCCATGCACACACACACACACACACACACACACACACACACACAGACACACACACAAACAGACACACACACACACACACACACACACACACACAGACACACACTCCTCTGACACACAAACAAAGGTTCTGCATCTGGTGGGGGGGTGACGACAGTAACTTCTACCTGGACACAGCAGAAATCCTGAAAGAAAACAGAAGATCGACTTAATCAGAACCTGAAACACACGACGGCCTGAAGGGAAATTAATTCCACAAACGCAGTTTTTCTGCTTTTATTCTGAACTGGATTCATTCAAACTGTGTCCCAGCTTTCCTCCAGCCCCTGAATGCACCACAGGGAATAAAACCGAGGGGTCTTCCTCGTCTCTTTAGACAGGAAGTGACCTCCTCTGAGAGGCTGGAGGGAAAAACCTGGAAAAGGTTTGTGTTTGTTGGTGGAACGTGTTAAAGTTGTTGAAGCGCCACCTGGTGGAAGAATGTGTCACAGCATCAAACCCAAAACATCAAAGAAGCCGTTTGTTGGCAAAGAAGGATCCTCTAGATTTAATTTACAGGCATTTCTGAGGTATTACTGAGAATTTCAGGGTAAATCAAAATAACTAAGCTAAGTTAGTTTAAAGTTCACCTACCGTAAGTAAGATAAAAAAAAATCAGATAAATAGAAAATATATAAAATATAGAAACTAAATAAAAATAAATAAGCCAAGTTATTTTAAAGTTCATGTGATGTAAGTTAATTTTTTTTAAATCCGATATATAGAAAATACAGAAACTAAATCAAAATAAATAAGCCAGTTATTTTAAAGTTCATGTAATGTAAGAATACATAAAATATAAAAACTAACTTAAAATAACTGCACTAAGTTGGTATAGAGTTCCTGTCTAAAGTCAGAGTGAGTTAGGGCTGGTCCTGTATCTCAGTCTCCACCTCTACCTCCGTTCTTCAGTCTCTGAGCTAAAGGGACAATAAAAACCCTTTTTACTGATTATTTCTTTATCATTTCTTTATCTTTCCATCTCTCTTCTAGAAGTAATTTGTTTTTTTGCAATGTGTAATTGTCTGCAGTATTTATTAACTCATTGACTGGCAGCCATTTTCAGAACAG